CACCCCTCATCTCCTCCTTGTCTTCCCAATCCGAGACTAAAGCATAATGACCCTTATCACCCTCTTCCACAAGTCCCAGAGTAGTTTCCCACAGCCCACCAAGGGTAATAAGGGGGCTGCCTAGGACATAAAAGCAGCTCCGTGCAAGAAGGGCCTCCACCCTGCCAACCTCCGCATGCAGCTCAGGGCCCTTCTTGCCCTGGGCTCCCCTGAGACAAAGGTTTCAAACAGAGATCGGGCCAAAAAAAAAAAAAAAAAAAAAAAAAAAAAAAAAAAAACAAACTTGCAAGCTGCTAAATGGTAAACCCTATTCTGGATTCTCTGCCTTTGGTTATGTCAAGGTGTTAATGAATATTTAGCTCTGGCATTAAAAGCAGAATCAGGAAAGAGAGGAAGAGGAGATTAGAAAAGAGGAGAGAAAAATTTGTAGGCCTAACCACTCTGCTAATGTAACTTAATATGAAGGAAGTTTAATGGATGCCAAATTATTTATGTGATGAGATAAAGAACACAGGGTTTATCTCATCTCTCTGTCTGTCAGTCTGTCAGTCTGACTGTTTGTCTGTCTTACTCCCCCCCCCCTCTCTCTCTCTCTCTGGCTGTCTGTCTGTCTGTTTGTCTCTCTCCCTCTCCCTCTCCCACACACTCACACTCCACTCTCTCCTTTACACTCACACTCCACTCTCTCCCTTACACTCACACTCCACTCTCTCCCTTACACTCACACTCCACTCTCTACCTTACACTCACACTCCACTCTCTCCCTCACATCCACACTCTACCCTCTCCCTTTCCCTCACACTCACACTCCACTCTCTCCCTTACACTCATACTTTCTCTCTGACACTCACACTACCCTATCCTTCACACTCACACACTCCCTCTCCTTCACATTCACCTCTATCCTCTCCCTCACATTCACAATCACACTCTATCCTCTCCCTCACATTCACAATCACACACTATCCTCTCCCTCACACTCACAATCACACACTATCCTCTCCCTCACAATCCCAAAGTTATCAAAGTCTACTTTGATAAACCTCTACAGAATGCTATGGGAAGGCTAGACTGGGTGAAGCAAGAGCATAGAACTCATTAATGTACAAGTAAGTAAATGAGTCTACAAGTACAGGAAGAAATTATGGAAAATATGCTAAGTGTAATTTCAGTTTTCACTTCTAAGTTTGGTGTCCTGAAGTCTAACTGTTGTTTGAACAGATGTACACAAATGGAATGAAAGCTATCGTAGTAAGTATGGTTCATCCTGCATCTCAGTCCATTCTGCTGATTAATGTCCTGCAGTTCATAAACTGATAAGTGGAATATTATTAACTGTTCACAAACATCTTTCATTCAAACCTTGCTGCTAAGCAAGAAATGGTCTGTGTAAGAAACTATTGACAAGCAACTTGACACAGTGACTTATTTTCTGTAAGCTGTACAATTAACCACCACTGATGATTGGCATCTATTCTTGCCATAACGAGCTGCACCCAAAAGCCAGGTGACAAGGTTATGTGTCATGCATGGTCAACCTGCACTAATTATCTGTTTTAAACATTTGTTCTATTGTTTAGGGATAGGCTGTTCAGGAGTCACAGCCTTCTAAGAGTGGGGTTAAAGTCTTGTTTTAGGCACAATTACTGGGAAAACTAGTATACCACAGCCAAGTACAAACTGGGCGGGTGAAGGTGTTTTTCCTGTGATTCTAATTTTTTGCTCAACGAGGAAAACCCCATCTTAGTAGAGCTAAAATATAATGGAGAATGGAAGGAAACTTAATTGTTAGGACAGCAAAAAAGTGAATGCTATGGCATAAGTGTTGTGCCTCAAAATAACCCTAAATGACTAATATAGGCTTTAAGTCAAATGCAAGAGGAACAAGACAGTTGAACAAGTGCTGATGTACTATCACACTTTATTTTGAGAAGGTCAATCAGTTGGAAAGCACTCACTCCTAAGAACTGATCTCACTTTCCCTTACAAACTTGAATATACCTTATAAAAAAAAAAAGATACTTTAACCAATTCAATTTACATTACAATATATAAAATGAGAAAATGTACCCTCATGTTCACACAATGATATCTATATAACATCTCTTTCACAGGGTGTATCACTTATAATTCATATTTAACTGAGTACAAATACATTATATTACCATTTGGTTAAATCAAAAGGATTCTACTAAGAAGTTTTTTAATAAAATAAACTCTTCTTTATATCCATTCACTTTTATTCCCCCATCGAAGTGTATACTTCTTTCCTAATAATTTTCTCAGCAAATATAACACTACAAAAGAAATACTTTTATGGAAAAAGAATTGCACAATGCTTTCTTTTGCATTAGGAGCAATGCTATGCAACAAAAAATGATGCTGGTAGTGCCCCCGAAGGTGTGACTACTGCATAAAAACAGTTTCTAAGGGAAAAATGTGAAAACAGAATTAAAATAAGCTGCACGGCACTTACCTTGATCTCTGTTGCGGCCATACA